CGGTGCCTGTGCGTTAATCTGCCACTGTACGTCATAGCAACAAGTAAAGATATTTGTTTAAACATAACATAACGTAACGTTTAAATAATGAGCGTATATTAAAATCCATGTGCTCATATCTAATATGTGATAATTTAAATGTCCAAAAAACAATAATAATATGAAAGTATTAAAAAAATAATAAAGAAATACAATAATGATAACAACAAAAATAAACTACAGTACCATAGTGATAACAAAATAATCGAATAAATCTAGGTGCAATATGTATCTGTATATCAATCCAACGTATAGTCCTCATCCTCATCAATTTTTACAACGTCAAAGTTCATCTTGACAAAGTCAATACTTCCCTATATATACAGCAAGGAGCACTGATGATGATTCATTCGGAATCGAAATATGGCCTTATTTGCAGCGTCAATTCGAAAAATAAGTTTATTTTGAATTTTAATAAACTAAACGTTCACCAAAAAACAAAAAACTTTAGTGAGAAAAATCGAAAAAACGAACTACTAACATATTAACGCCAAACATTCGGTAGAATTTATAGAATAGTGTAAAAATTATGGTCTATTACCAACATATATATATATATATATATATTTATATATATATATATATACATATATAATTATTTATAAAGATCACTGCGTTTTCGTCATTATTCAACTTGTAGTTGAGTTTCTAAATTTTTCTAACGAGACTTATCATCTTAATGAAGTTTATAAAGATTAAATAAAAAACTTTTGATATTTGACATTTTTGACAAAACATTATTAATAACGTTATTACTACAGAATAACTACTACTACGTTATTTTTGGCCTCTACTGCCATCATAAGTGTAGTTATATATTATTGTTCCGTCTTTGCGCCTTTGTTTTCACAGCGACTTTGATTGTAACTTAATTAGAATTAAAGTTAATCATGTGTTTGATTTTGATCTTTGTTGGAAAAATATTGATATTATTTAGTTGAATATCAATATTTATTGCTGGTTTACGTTAATCGATGAAAATTGATTCTGCTATCTTCAATTTGAAGTATTCTCTGTTGTAATAAATTGCTTTGGTGTTATTGTCTAGAATTTCCCTTGTTATAATAGTGTTGTGTTGTTCCATTAGGTGGTCTTTTATTAAAGCAATAATAAGTAGGACTGGAACCACCTGAACGCATCACCGCAAATACCATACAAAGTTGAGAGTTTCCAACAGGATTTGATGATCCACAGTGTCAAACGCAGCACTTACACCAAGAAGTGCAAGCAATGCAATGTCTTCAGCGTCAACCGCATCACAGACATCCGAAATCACCTTCAGTGCCGCCGTCTCAGTTGAATGTGCTCGACGAAAGCCTGATTGAACTTTCGGAGCATTGAGTTGATGTTCAAGTAGGCGAGGAGCTGACGAGCGATTACCCGTTCAATGACTTAGGAAATGAAAGCGAGGTTTGAGAGGCCTATAGTTGGCAATAACATTACTTGCCAGACCTGGTTTTTCAACAGCGGTTTCACCAGAGCGATCTTCTGGGACCTGGGTAGTATTGCAGTTCCTAGACTTTTATTAACCATAATCTGCAAAAACGGCAAAAGTGTTTCAACAAATTCCTTCATGAGTCCAGTTGGGATCGGATCAAGGCTTCAAGACTTACTGAAAGAAGAGAAAATTAATTTTTTAAAATCCTCTCATGGTATGTCAGAAACTGTTGTGCCAAAATAGATGGAGCCACTGAACTAGCAACTTTTTTCTTTCCAACAAATGATGATAAAACACTCCACAATCTTTTCGGTTCATTTGCGTTAGAGATTATAAGCGACTGATAATAGTTTGTCTCCTTTGATAAATATAACTTATGCTTTTTCTCAATTGCTAATCTCCAGCGGATAAAATTGTCATTATCTTTCGTCAGCCGATAAAGTCTTTCCAACTTTCGTGTAGAACGTTTTATGCTTTGGCAGTCTTTGTCAAACAAGCGACATGATTTAGAACGAACTCTTTTGTTTACCAACGGAGCATGCTGGTCAACAATTTTTCTAAGAGTTGAGTCATATAAATCAAAAAGTCCCTTCACATTACAATGTAAGTAGGCCCCAGAGTCACAGACGGCGCCTCCACTCAATGACTATCTGAACATATCACGATCAATACTCTTGTAGTTTCGAACTCATCTGTAGACCAATTTTGATGGTCGAGAAACGGCAACCGCCATCGAGCAGGATATGATCTCATGATCTGAAACCGTGGGTGGGTCAACGTGAACGTTGAATATCTCAAACTCCGACCTGGTGATGACGACATCAAGTTGACCTCCGAATTTATGTGTCTAAGAATCAATGTGCTGAACGCAACCAAATGTCGACAACAATGATTTGAACGATGATGCATGAACATTTGATGGGTCTTCAAAATAAATATTCAAGTCGCCTAGGATAACGATTTGTCCATTAAACTGACTGAGGAGTTCAAGTAGTAGACGAACTGCATAAAAAACTATTTGCTACTGGCGATGACCCTGGTCTGTATATTGCGATCACCGCAATGTTGACGGAACGAGCCGGTAACGTCGATACACATAGATACTCGAAAGTTTTTGATTGAAATTTTAGGTCCAGATTAGTAGAAATAAAATCGTTTCGTACCAATAGACCTACGCCACCACCGTTTGGAGTCAGGAATTTTGCCGACTTTTTTTTATCTCCTCACGAGCTTTATCGAAGCATGTGTAACTCTTCGGTGTCGATCGAATCAGGCATACACCGCCAGAGAAATAATGTCTACTTTCACTAACGGCGAATACATCCAACTTCCTATCACAGACAAACTCTTTTACGACCATATATTTATTTTGCAAACTATTTATTATGTTTATGTGAGCAAAGTTTATATTATTTTTTACGTAGCAACAATTTTTTGACAGATTAGTTTTATTTCGCCGAAACTTTGGACACCAAATATGAAATTTAAAGAAAGTTTTTCTAATCCGTCTTGAAACAGTGTACGACTTGTTTAAGCTACGCAATTCGTCGGAGCTGTACTTAAATAGCTTAGTGCCTTCCATCAACATAATTAACTCAAATTGCAACTATAACCAAAATTATTCAAATTAATTCGAAAAAACCAGTTAATTAACAAGTTACTTTTACAAATTTACGACCGAAGAATTTATCAGCAAAACGAACTAAAATTCAGCAACAATAACGAATTTTGAACGTCAAAAAATCAGAAAATTAAACGAGCTTAAGGAACACGTTTACCAGCTGATAAACGCAGTTAATAGTGTTGCTAGAACTTCTTACTATCATCTACGTAGAATAAAAAAAACTTTTGCCTTTTCTTGACGATCCTACTCTTCTACTTCTTGTTACTTCTTTAGTTTCATCTAGGATTGATTACTGTAGCTCGCTCTACTATGGTCTTCCTGATTCTACATTCTATCCTTTAAGTAAAGCTTTTAACTCTGATGCTCGTCTAGTTGCTCATGCCCCTTTCTCTTCTCATATATCTCCATACTTTGTTCTCTCGCACTGGTCACCTATAAAATATAGAATAATTTTTTAAATTTGCGCATTTATGTATAGGTCTCAATCTAACTAAATTATTTCCTTATCAGATATATTAATTGAACCTAAACGTCCCGTTTACGATCGTCTTCATATTTTCACTTTTTCTTAACTCGTGTTAAACACTCTCTTGCTAAATCTGCATTTGCTTTTTCTGGCCCTTTTCTCTGGAATTCTCTACTCCCTTCTCTGACTACTTCTCTATACATCACTTACGAAGTTCAGAGCGGATCTCAAGACCCATCTGTTTGCAAAATTTATTGAGGAGCGCTACTGAACATCGCGGAAATAGCGCTTTATAAACTAAATGATTAGAAAAAACGTCTTTCTATTTTTACGGTAAACTAAACGCAGACGCCGTTAATAATTAATTTTATTTAGTTATCATGGAAACTGATTTTTATCAAAAACTACAAGGATAACAAATGAGCCAAACAGATTTTAACATTTTATAAGTAGTTTGTTTTTTGAAGGTACAGGCATTTTAGCCAGGTTTACGATATTTATGACAAAACCAGAGAGTATACGATGTTTCCAGGCAAAACCAAAAGGTTTACGAATTTTTTATAAAAAAAACAACAGGGTAGACGGCGTATATCGCCGCATGACGTCCACTACATCCTTGACGATCACCTTTAATCATGGACATATATATATACATGTCTTTAATACTAAAACTAAATGCAAATGATGTAAATAAAATCACATACTTTTTGCAGTATATTTTATTTAAGACAAACATTAAGTAATTTTACTATAAAAAAGAATCACATCGACCGATTTCATGTGTTTTTGAAAGTATTTTTCATTTAATAGTGATATTTAAGTAAAATTACATATATATATATATAATGTAACATATGAATTCTATACACACATATATATATATATGTAAAATTATTATACAAAAGTTGAAAACTTTATTTAGACTGGAGTCGGAAATTTTTTTGGGTCAGATATTTTTCATCCGACTCCGATACCTTGGATTTGCAGTTATGGGCCCGTTGCTATATAGAACAGCCTATATATATATATATATATATATATATATATATATATATATATATTAAACGGCACCCTTCCATATAAACTTCAATCACAAGTTACAAATTATTGCAACTATTAACAATTTTTTATACATTTTTTGAGATTGAACCAGATCACTTATTATTCTCATTAAAGTATCTGCAATCATTAAGTACGGACCCATTTCGAGAATTATTTATATTCAAGAGAAAAACTTGGTTTGCAGAAAAATTTGAACGCAATTATTAAAAATAGTAAGACAAAAAAAGTTTTTCGACATAAAATTGAGCTAAGAACAACGTTTGCAAGCCGTAGTTTGTTAATTTCTGCCTCATTGTAAGATGCTGTAGTCTAAAGAGAGTTAAATCTATGAGCAGAAAATGCAATTACATCAATAATTGTATATAATGACATTTTCGTTTGAATGCATGTTAAGCCGATAATGCCAAAAACTTAAAAAACAATTTATTATAATAAAATGGAATTGAAACAAATTTCGAATGCAAGGCGTTTTTATTATCTTTCAATAAGTAAGACAGTTTCATACAACTCTGTATGTGGGAACATATCAACAACCATCGCCTCCATCAGTCGAAACGGCTTTCCATCAAATCTTTTTGATGTTTGTCTTGTGAGGCTTTGAATTAGCAAAATTAAAGTTAATTATGACTTGTGATGTTATAATAAAAATAATAATTTAAATTAATGATGATTTGTGATTGTGATGTTATATTATGTTATACTACTGCTACTACTACTACCACCACCACCACTACCACCACCACCACCACTACTACTACTACTAAAAATAATAATAATATATAAACCAACAACAACCAGGTAATCGCTGAAACAGACTACATACGTGCTGTAAAATAGATGCATGGATTCCAAATATTTGCTACTCTATTCAACAATTTCTCTGCCTTTCTGTGTCTTATCTCTTTGCAACATTTTAAACTGCGACTCACGCTCTAGTTTTGACATTATTACATTGATTTGTTAAATCAATTTTGTCCGTTTTGAACATGCTGAATTTCTGAATCAAATCTCATCATTTTCTTCTTTTTACCAAAGTTGTTAGTCCCAATTCATTGAGACGATCATTGTAAGTGAAATTTCTTATAGATGAAACTAATTTTGTTGCTTTGTGCTGGACTCTTTCCATCAATCCAATATTGCTCTTCATATCTCGGTTTCAAACTGACATCGCAAACTCCAAAAGTGGGTGAATGAAAGTTAGGTATAAATTATGGAGAATTTCCAAAAAAATTTGTATTTGGCCAAGCATTTGATTTGCTTTGCTAGATGCCAAGATGACTTGATTTTTCCATTTCAAATTAGTTGAAAAAATCATTTCAAGATCTCTCCCACATTTAAGACTTAAAAGGTTTTCCATCCAGATACAAAGGACATTTTTTATTACCTAATTTGGACTTAATGCATTACTATACATTTTTCAACACTGAAATGTTGAAGGCATTCTTGGGTCTATTTGAAGCCGCATATAGATCAAATTGAAATGCGACTTCTTTGTTTGAGGACACTGCATTTACGATCTGCACCAGTTTCGTTGTATGTTTCAAATTAGTTGGTAGGTCGTTGATGTGCATATTGAAGAAAAGGGAACCAATGACAGAACCTCGAGGCAAACCGCTAAAAAATTCAACCCAATACGAAACTCTAATTATACACCAAACCGCTTATTCCATATGCATTCAGTTTAGCCAATAATCTTCTACGAGGAATAGTATCGAATGCTTTGGCAAAATCAAGGACTATATTGACCGGAACAGAATTATTTAAATTGAAAAAATAATGTCGAGAGTTTTTTTTCTATCCTGGGCTTAAAACCCAAGAAGTAATGGATATTAAAAGGATTAATTCACGTCTCATGTGGATCAAGCTTCGCTTAAAAAAGCAAACAATGATTATTTTTTCTGCATACGCCATACAGACAGGCGAATAAGAAGAGATGGAAAATGACTTCTGGGCTGCGTTATCTGACACCATCTCAACAATACCAAAATCTGGAACAATCCTGATTGGAGGCGATCTCAATGGCTACGTTGGAGAGCAAACAGATGGTTTTGACAACGTACATGGCGGTTTTGGCTATGGAAAACGGAATGAAGATGGCAACCGCATCCTTGAGTTTGCTGAAAGTCACAGGTTTTGTTTACTGAACATATATTCTAGAAAGAGGTTGGAACATCTCATAACATACAAAAGTGGACCATCAGACACGTAAATTGATTTCTTCGCTGTCAAGCAACAACACCGAAGGCTATTCAAAAATGTCGAAGTTATACCTGGCGAATCATGTATCACCCAACATAGACTCTTTGTCAAAACTGTCAAAACATAAGCCTAAACAAATGCCTTGGAGAATAAAAACGTGGAAGCTGAAAAGGAATATTCATCGAGAAAGATTTCAACAGATTGTCGCAACACAGTTAGACCACCAATCGCAAGCCAGTACTGATTGGAGTACATACAAAACCGTTTTGATAAACGCTGCAACTACAGTTTGTGGGAAAACTGGTACAAAACGTCAGCATGAACGAGACACTTGGTAGTGGAATGACAGTGTACAAAATGCAATAGCTGAAAAGAAAACTGCATACAAGCAATGGCTAATATATGCTGATGATATGCAGCATGCCGCACAGATGTTTGAAGATTGGAACACCAGACTCGCCGATCATGGATTCAAAGTCAACATCAGCAAAACCAAAACAATGAACACTGGTGAACCCATCCAATCCACAACTACTGGACGATGGCCCTGTTCAGTTTGTAAAGCTGGTGTAGGTAACAATTCAATTAAATGTCAGCAATGTAACCAGTGGTGTCACAAACGTTGTTCAAAAATAATTGGTACTTTATCTAAAGTGTCCAATTTTGTTTGTCCTGCTTGCATCAATCCACAACAACAAATTCGAAATAGCACTGTTTTTTAAGCCATTAAGGTAGAGAAAGTCACATCGTTTCAATATCTAGGGGATGTTCTAGATTGTACTGGAACAGCTGAAGCTGCCGCTCGAGCACGCATACGTGCAGCCTGGAATAAATGGCATCTCCTTGCTTCTATATTGATGCGGCGTGACATCCCACTACCACTACGATCAAGACTTTATAAATCTGTGATACGTCCGGTGATGTTATATGGTGCAGAAACATGGCCAATGACAACCAAACTGGAACAACAACTTCAACGAACCGAATTGAAAATTCTCCGATGGATGCAACGAATTAGTCTGAAGGACCACATCAAATCTACCGAAATCCTGCGTCGTGCTGGTTTAGATGATATAAAGGACGAATGTCGGCAACACCGTCTGCGGTGGTTTGGTCATGTCAAACGAAGTGGATACAGTGCCATAACTTCTTTTGCAGATGTTGAAGTTCATGGCACACGTCCCAAAGGCCGTCCAAAGAAGTCCTTGTCACAAACAATCGAGCAAGACATGAAAACTCTAAATTTAAATGAATGGATTAGTCATTATCGTCTAATTTGGCGCAAAAAGTTGATAGCAAAGAAAACAACGTCCTACCTCGGAAAACTGGGTCTCTGGACGCTAAACAAAGATTGATTGAATGTCGAGAGTTTCAAGAAGGTTTTTTCTATGAAATAAATGATTTTCCATCAACAAAACTGTGTTGTTAATTCAATACTATATTAATGTTAGAAAGATTGTTAATGTTAAGTTTCTAATCTATTACAAATAATACCTTCCATTATTTTACATGAAACTGATGCAACATCCTGATCAAAAAGACATATTAAATGTCTTGGCGTTGACCAAAATAGAGACATTCTACATGGCAAAATTAAAGAAGAAAATGGTAAAGAATACTACCGTCGTGCAAGTCATATTTTTAGCACTTAATCCCAAAAATAAAATGCAAGATTATAACAGCAATAAGTTTAAAATCTTAGATGGGATGGAAAGTACAGACTTCTACACTCAAAAGCTAACGTTTACCGTATTTATACACCTACGTAGTGTACGTTGATGACTCGTTGAACTAGAGAGTGTGTAAAAACGTGAAATCACTGATCTTACTGAATATATCATGCATTACTGAAAGATACACACGACCTGTTTGGACCCACGAAAAAGAGAAAAGAAAGTACATCAGAGCTAAGTGCATGCCTTCAGATACAAACCGAAACCCTCAACTGATTTAATTCAAGTTCAAAATCGAAAAAACAATAATGAGAAAGTTAAACCTAAGCAGTTTAGTATGCAATAACAAAAACTAAACTTATTATGAAGACTGACAGCAAGTGTAAATTATGCCAGTAGCTAGAAAATAATGTCAGCTGGATGCTCCATACTAGCACCAAATAAATATGTGCACAGACACAACTGACAACTGAATCAACAGTTCTATTTTGAAAAGACAGATAACTGGTACAATAGCTCGCCTGAAAAAGTCGTCGGGTTCAAGAAAACGAAATGCAGACACGGCATGACTACGCATATATACTGGTCGTACTGCGAGATTCAACCGATCGGATACCATATTTTATGACAGAATGTGCTTTTATGTGCTTCTTGATTGATGTTATAATTTCCAACAACACGATTGTTGCTCTCAAGGAAGTTGAAAAACTAAGCAAATACAAAACTCACCAAGTTATCACAACCTATAAAAATGCCATGCCTCGCGCTGCTATTGCACGATAGCACTGTGCATGAGCGTGCATATATAATGTGTGTGTCGTGTGGTATGGATATTACAGCCTTTGTGACACGAAGGTTTAGTCACAAGTATATATTAACAGCATTATAAAGGATGAAAAAAGATCTTGAGATATCACGTATGTTATGTGGAACACAAAAACATGCGTGATTCCAACAGTAGTTGGTGCTTTAGGATAGCTGCAAAAGGTGCTGCCGAAGTATCTTGATGAGCTGGCCACCTGGAAAAATGAATGTTATAGAAATGCAGAAAATTGCGCTACTCGATACTGCCGACATGCATTAAAAATTATATTAAATTAATTGCTCTATATTCGATACCTCAGGAGTGGCAAAAGAAGCTGAGAAAAATAAATAAAAATAATGTAATAATAATATTAATAATAATAACAATAATAATGAAAGTTTGTGAGGTTATATTTTACTTTTCAACACATTGCTCTGATACATTTTAACGGTTAACAATCACAATGAGGAACAAATGAATAAATATAAATTTATCAGCTTTTTTTACAATCAGGGACTTTTTTCAAAACTTTTTCTCATTAATCAGATCGATTGAAAATTAATTTTAAAAAAGCAATACAGTCGTCGCAAAAATTCAAAATTAATTGAAAATAATTGTTTACTAACTCAGCAATATTTGTTGAGACAGCAGATAACTTACAAGCCACGTAAACTATGCGACTGATGCATGCAGTTTTTCTTATTGCACGAATAACATCTGTATCTGAAACATTGAAAAACCTTTTGTTTGTAAATTTTACATATTCAAAAAGTGCTGACACTTGCCTAATAAAATTGAAGTCTTTAACATTTTCATAAACCCAGTGAATTAAAATTGAAAATCATATATTTAAAGATTAAGATAGGTTAAAATTTGATGTTATTTACATTAAATTGTTGGTTATTGTTGGTCTTGGGCATGGCATAAAACTGCATCCACGTCCAATAGGTCGCCTAAAGAAGTCCTGGACGCAGACCATACAGGAGGACTTGAAGGCACTTGGTCTCAAGGAGACAGACGCAATGGATAGATCGGCTTGGAGACAGAAACTGATGAATGGAATAAAAAAGTCAGACCCATAATGGATGGAGACTATAAACGAGGATTGATTGATTTAGATAAGAGAAGTTGAAAAACTTCAACATTATCATTCAATTAATCTTCGTTTAGCGTCCAGGAACCCAGTTTTCCCGAGGTAGGACGTTGTTTCCTTCACCATCAATCTTTTTGTGCCAAATTAGGCGATCAGTTGTATCCATTTCATTTAAATTTAGAGCTTTCATGTCTTGCTCGATTGTTTGCAACCTTTAAACGTTTAAACCTTTAAATTCTTTAAACGGCGTTTGGGACGTGAGCCAGGTACTTCAACATCTGCAAAAAAAGTTATGGCACTGAAACATTGTAATAAGAAAGGCAGATAAAGCTCCAATGTATGTAATCGTCAATAAAACTGATTATAGAAACAAAATCAACGAAATATTGTCCGATAATTCAAAATTTAAATCAATTAAAAAAGACCCAACAACTGAATTAAAAACCAAACTTAATAAAATAATAAAATCAATCAGTGCATCATCAACTACTAATTTAATTCCAGAACTGATAGGCGAATACCAGCATAACTATATGTATGGTAATGTAAAAACTCACAAAAATAATAAGTCTTTAAGACCAATCATTAGCCAAATACCTACTGTCACCTATCCCATTGCTAAAATCCTCAATAAACTCATTACTTCATACACACCAAACAGCTATAATTTAAAATCCAGTAAAAATTTATAGACATCATTTCAACCTCCACACCAACAATTAACACAAGCATTGGTTCACTCGACGTGGAATCATTATTTACTAATGTTTCTGTCAAAGATGCCATTGAAATCATATTAAACACTATCTATAATTCCAAATATACGCCTTTAAACATACCTAAAAAACAATTAAAATCCCTACTAGAAATCTGCACAATGGAAATGCCATTCTACTGTCCAAACAACAAACTCTAAAAACAAATCGACGGCATCGCAATGGGTTCTCCATTTGGTGTTCTTTTTGCAAATTTTTACATGGGTCACTTAGAAGAGATTACATTCGCAAATCATCCACAGCTTAAACCACAAATATACTGTCGATACATCGACAATATATTTGTTACCTACAACAACCCCAATATAATCACCAAACTACTGGAAATATATAACAAATCCAATTTGAAATTTACTATAGAAAATTCAACTGATAATAAATTACCATTCCTAGACGTGCTTACAATCAAAGAAGAAAAAAAATTCACAACTAAGGTCTACACAAAAACAACGAACAAAGGACTCTGTCTCAATGGGATTAGAGAGTGCACTGAAACATTCCTAACTAGTACGATCAGTGCCTTCGTCAACAGGGCGTATACTCACTCATCAAAAGCCGAAGATAGAGAAAAAGAACTCCAACGAGTAACAAATCTCCTAATTAATAATAGATACAAACTATAACAAGAAAATAATTCACCGCAAAGAACAACAACCTAACAATGAAAATACAAACGACAATAACAACAATATAAAAAACATCATAATTTACTATAAAAATAGTATGTCCTCATCACATAAAACAGATGAAAAAATAATGAAAAAGATAATAAATAACAACGTTAAAGTCATAGATACAAACAGCTCATTAAAATTAGGAATTTACTACACGAACAGGAAAACATCATCTCTAATAATAAAAAACAATTCCAACACTAAACCTTCATCGGATATGAAAAGTAGCCATTTGATTTATTCATTCACATGTAAAATTGGTGAGTGCGTGCATCAAAATTCTGAATACGTCGGAATGACTACAACAACATTAACGAGAAGACTCACTATGCATAAGCAACATGGAGCAATAAAAGACCACCTAATGGAACAACACAACACTGTCATAACAAGGAAAATTTTAGACCATAACACCAAAGCAATTTATTACAACAGAAAATACTTCAAATTGAAGATAGCAGAATCAAATTTCATCGATAAACGTAAACCAGCAATAAATATTCAACTAAATAATACCAATATTCTTCCAAAAAAGAAACACATGATTAACTTTAATTCTAATTAGGTTACAATCAAAGTCGCTGTAAAAACAAAGACACAAAGAGGGAACAATACTATATAACTACACTGATGATGGTAGTTGATGCCGAAAAGAGCTTTTCTGTAGTAATAACGTATATATATATATATATATATATATATATATATATATATATATATATATATATATATATATATGTATGTATGTGTGTGTATAAAATAAATTATCTACGACCAACAGAACCGACGTAACTCCAGAGCAAAAAGTCAATAACAAATGTTGCATCTTTCCCGAAAGTTAGAAGCTAAAAATACTCTAATTGATTAAATAACTTCTCAACTAACAAAACAAAAAGAAGTATGAGATCACTGCCCTGCCAACGAGAAGATTAAGACAAACACTAACTAGGCACTCTAATTAAGAATTCATTACATCATTCCAACAATCAATCAAATTGCAAGTACATAAAAAAAACTAACATCACTGATCAAACAAGGCTATAACAACATACTAGAGAAAAAATTCATCAACTTGAGCCATCACACTCTCACTGAGAAGCAAAAAAAATTTTCAACTTGGGAATTAACATATATGAAGTTAACTTAATTAACTAAATTCATGAAAATGAAAAACCCGAACTAAATAGAAAAAAACTATAGAGATAGAAAAACTGACGCTACACCATGGACACCAACTAATTTTAATAAATTGGATAATAACTATAAAATTATTGTTAGAAATATTAAAAAGCTCAAACGTAAACTTTCAGGAGCTAAAAATTCGGTAGATTTTATCAAATATCAGCTTCTGGTTTAGTTCTTCAATATTTAGCACCGATGTTTATAATTGTTTTTTTAAATTATTTTTAAGAAAACAGAGTTTTTGACTACTCTTCTATTAACTTTAATTATACAGAAAAAGGCCTTTTTCGGTGTCCTTTATCATTTACAATCTAGTATGCTATCTATATCTGTGCGTTCCTAATTTATTGGCTCCAAAGGATCGCTTTCTGTTGAATTATTATTTTTCATCATTATTCGATTCTTTGTCGGTAGCAAAGTTACTGCATTTTGTTGGATATGTATTGCAGGGTTCTCTTTGTTTATAAAAAGCGTTTCTGCAATTTTAAACTACAATGGATTTTTGTTGCGGTACAGTTGGTTAAGATTATATGAGTAATATCAGTTAAAATTTTTTTAACATCGTTAATAACGTATATTCTAAATCGGACAATTAAAAAAGCTGAAAACGTATTGTCGTGAAAATTGTCATTCGCCAATTCCTGACAAATTGGTGAATGACTACGCAACATCTTTTTATTTGACCCTGTGTCTGATATACTGTGTTTGTATAAAGCTACGGTAATAATGACAGTTATTGAAATTTTTTTTAGTCAAATTACCAATGAAGTTAAATTCCAATGAAAACAATGAATAATAAAAACTAACGTAATCCAGCTCTCGGCGGATCAACGACAACCACCACTTCATCAGTTTCTTTGACGGCTTTCAAAACAGAGATCAACACATTTTCCACTTTTCCGCAAATAAAATCAGCATTCGTTATTCCTATTTACAAGATTAATATAATTTAAAATTTGTTTAAGCACTCAAAATGCAAACGAAATAGTATAAATAATTACAGCGAGATGTTCATTTAACGCAAATTGAGCATCTTTAAATGCGTGTCGGAAACCATTTTAAACAATTACTTATTCCATCTTTCTGGCTTAAACTATTCCATCTTTCCATCCATATTCCATCATCCATCTTAAATGTTATGGATTCAATATATATATATATATATATATATATATATATATATATATATATATATATATATATATATATATATATATATGCAAGAATGTGCCAAAAAAGTTGAATGATGCAACAGATATCAAGCAGAGAAAAAAATTTGGTGCTTTTTAGACTTGTTGAAGGAGACGACGACAAAGAACGTATAATGAGAATTTTTAATCACTTGACTCGAAACGAAGTTGCCGAGAAAGCAATTGTTAAAGTAACGAGACCAGGGAAAAAACAAGAAAAATTAAACAGACGTTATTGATTAGTCTTGATGATATTGAATCGAAAAACTTAATAATGGATAATTTATCACGAATGAAATCATTGGATGATGTGCTAAAAGGTGTTTGGCTTAGTCACGACCTTTCAAATGATCAGAGAGATGAGTTGAAGAAATTGATCAATGATGCAAAAAAGCAAAAATCTGTAAACATTGATTTTTTATTTAGAGTGAGGGGGCCTCCGGGAAGATGGAAAATAGTCAAGTTTCGGAGGGATCAAAAACTGAAAAAAAAGTTTGATTGAGAGAGATGGCATTGATGGTTATGTTGATGATATTGATTTTGATGGAGTAAACGTTGAAAATTGTTTTAGATATGCGGGTAATTAACGCTATTATGGTAAGTGTCAATATAAAATCTCAAATTTTGATGTGTGTGGTGGAAAAGGGTGTAACAATAAAAATGTAATAGGTAAATTTCAGTATGTTGAGGATGATAAAACCAACGAAAGCTTTAATGAAGCATCTGATAAAGGTAAACTTGCTAAAATTGGAAATGAAGAGCGATCGGTGGTTCTGGGAGTTTTAAATATCAGAACTATAAAAACAAAATTCAGCTCTATTTAGGGTTTAATTCACGTAATTCACGAAAGCCTGGACATCTTTGTTGTCACGGAGAGCTGGCATGGTTCGGCAGAAAATATTTCCATTGAGTAATCAATGCCACCTGGCCATCAGTTTGTAGACTGTTAAAGACCGCACGACCCACACCATGGAGGTTTAATCATTTTTTTCCGATCAATTTTTAGATATAAATAGATCACTTTGCCACTGGTTACTGCTTTTGAGGTTCTGGCGGTGAAACTTAAAATTAATGAATTAGATTATATTCTTTATATTATAATATTATTTTACCCGAAAAAAGACATAGTTTGTGCCTCATGTATCAAAAACGACAAAAATGAGATGGTTCTCGAACAAGATGAGATCAAACTACAGTAGAAAGAATATTTCAACCGTCTGTTAAAGGAAACAAATCCCTTCAATGTCAACTTTGACGCTCCACCCATCGAAGGTCCGATTCCAGACATCACTGTAGAGGAGCTTACAGAAGCTCTGAAAGCTATGAAGGATTGAAAGGCAACAAGGCCCTCTGGACTCACAAATGACATTATCAAAGCATCTGGTACTGCTTGTATCCAAACGTTACTACAACTTTGCCGTGAAATCTGGAAAAATTACTCAACTGAATGGAACTATAGCATGACTGTCTCGCTATACAAAGGCAAGGTGATCCATTGAACTGTTCATCATATCGGGGTATACCTCTGTTAGAAAACTCCCTGAAAATTGTCGAGAAAATCATTGAGAGAAGATTAACGTTGTGCATCACAATCGGAAATTATCAATTTGGTTTCCTAGCGGGGAAATCAACAATTGATACAATTCACATCCTTCGGCAACTGCAAGAGAAGTACCTAGCAAAGCATCAACAACTATCACACATTTTTGTAGACCTTGAAAAAGCATTTGATCGAGTTCCCCGTGAAGCAATCAGGTGGAGTCTACGTCGGCAACTCATTCCAGAATATCTTGTTCGACTTGTGATGGAAATGTATACGAATACTAAGACTCTCGTCAGTACAACGGATGGAAACACAGATGCATTTGACATCGGCGTTGGAGTTCACCAAGGCTCGATTCTCAGTCCACTGTTATTTATAACTGTGATGGAAGAAATCACAAAACCGATACGCACTGGTGACATTTGGAATCTAGTATATGCTGATGATATCGTTTTAACAGCCACGTCTGAGCAGAATGCAGCAGAGATGTTTGAAGATTAGAACACCAGACTCGCCGATCATGGATTCAAAGTCAACATCAGCAAAACCAAAGCAATGAACACTGGTGAACCCATCCAATCCACAGCTACTGGACGATGGCCCTGTTCAATTTGTAAAGCTGGTGTAGGTAACAATTCAATCAAGTGTCAGCAGTGTAACCAGTGGTGTCACAAACGTTGTTCAAAAATAATTGGTACTTTATCTAAAGTGTCCAATTTTGTTTGTCCTGCTTGCATCAATCTACAATAACAAATTCGAAATAGCACTGTTTTTGAAGCTATTAAGGTAGAGAAAGTCACATCGTTTCAATATCTAGGGGATGTTCTGGATTGTACTGGAACAGCTGAAGCTGCCGTTCGAGCACGCATACGTGCAGCCTGG